TCTTCCGAGACTTCACTACGAACTGTCAACCCCACACGGAATAATTACAAAAAAAAAAATGAAATGCATCTTGGATTAACATATGAAATAAGCCCGCATGAGTTATTTAAATATAAATAGCTTATAAATTAATTAAATAATGTATAAACAAATTTATAATGTTTATCGAATACACTTTTAGCTGCAGGTGTTTAATTTTCTAATGACTTGTAGGGATGTCTATTAGAGTCGAGCTACTCATGTGAGACTCGTCCTTATTTGATGAACGAGCATGCTCAACTCGTTTAACAATCTAAAAATGATAAGCAAACTATTCATGAACACGTTTAGCTAGATTGTTCGTTTAAAACTTTTATAAAATAAAAATAAACGAATTTGTTCGTGAATGAATTCAGCACAGTCCACTTAATAAACAAGTTTGATTAGTTGTTTGAGCTCGGCTCGTTTAAATAAGCAAGTGAATCAAGCTCAAACTTACGGGAGTCGAACCGAATTAAACATTGGGATATATTTATGAATTAAACTTTTCATAAATAAACTTTAAATAATCTTACTTTGGTCCCCAAAGAACACAATAGGGTTTTAAAAGAATTATAAACTACATGCGACCCTTCACAGTAAATTACGAAAGATATGCCTGAGCAGAACTGAGCTCCCACCCCTTTTTAGGCCGCTAGGTTTTCACAAACCTCTTTGGACTCGAAAACAGTACATACATTCGAGCCCAGAAAGAAGTTACACAAAATAATGGACTCATTTTCGTCGCCATCGAGTGGTTCATCTCCACAGATTTCACCTGACTACTTGATGAACCAGGTCAAAACCGAGCTTGCACAAGTTTATGCAGAGGAGTTCCTCGAGGTGCCAAATTGTGCTCTTTTTTTTCTCTTTTATGTTTTACAGTTTTGCCTTTTCTTGTTCGTTTTTTGTCACCCCTCTTTTCAGCTGTTTCTGTTTCAATGGAGGAACTTAGTTTTCTTCTATGCTGGGATGTTTCTGGGTATTTCATTTTCTTTTACTATGAGGTTGTTGCCAATATGGCTGTGATATCTTAATTTATGGCTGTGAGTACGAGTAGATGTGCATTTTTCTTACATTTGGAGAAGTTGTTTCTTGCATTTTGGATTTGAAGTGGATTTCTTTCATAAATCAGCAGAGAAGTGAATTAGAACTTTTGAAACACTTTATAGGAAGTGGAAATTATAATTTTTCCTCAGTGGTGATAATTGGAAGGAAATGGTTGTTTAAAAGATCGAATCTTTTTGTTATATTGTAGGTATTGTACATATTTGAGCTGATTAATGTTTTTGGATAAGATGCTCTCTTTGCACCGATATTTTTGCTCGACCCATTTTGTGGAAGAAGTCTATTGGTTGTTTGCTGTTTGTAAAATTGTCAAATGAAGCAAGAAAAACCATTTGCTGTTTATTGTTCTATTAGATTGTTTATATCTGTAGATGGAGAGGGTTCTTTGCATAATGCCTACTGAGTGCAAAGATCAAATCTTTTTATTAGTTATACGGTAGGTATGCACATATTTGAGCTGATTAATGTTTTGAATTAAAATGCTGTCTCTGCATCGATGTTTTTGCTCGGCCCATTTCCTGGAAGAAGTCTATTGGTTGTTTGCAGTTTGTAAAATTGTCAAATGAAGCAAGAAAAACCATTTGCTGTTTATTGTTCTTTTAGATTGGTTATATATATCTGTAGATGGAGAGGGTGCTGTTTTGCATAATGCCTACTGAGTATTTATTGTTTTGTTTTATTTTTTATCTTTTAATTATGGTGCAGACTGTAAGAGACAAGTGCTTTGACAAGTGTATAACAAAACCAGGTAATAGTTTGAGTGGGAGTGAGTCTAGCTGCATCTCCAGATGTGTCGAGCGTTACATTGAGGCTACTGGCATTGTTGCTAAAGCTCTATTTACCCAACGTTGAGAGCTGCTTTAACCATTTAGTCTATGTACGCTTGACATTAATTTCGTTATTTATACTAATGTTAGAATTGAAATTCTTCATGTTGTGCTGTTTTTTAATTGCTTACATTTTTGGGTTTTCTCTAAGGTTTATCTTAAGATTATGTTAATCATTAAAACCATTGTGTTAATCGTTATTATCTGTGTTCTCTTTTTCTGATTTCCTTGCATGATATTTATTTTCTCTGCATAAGTTGTCTCGTAGATATTATTGATTATTTTGGGTTGTTCAATATGGTTCAATTCAAAAGACCAATTCTTTTGCATTTGCCTTTTTTCTGATTCATCAAAGTACATTACCCATTACAAAAACATGGCATATTGAGGTGTTAGCATGCTCTAAGTACATTATGCTCCTTTATTTCTTTCTTTTTTTTTCTTTTTTCTATTTCTGGATTTCTTTTTGGCTATCGAAGAATTGTACACTCTACAAAAGTGCTGCACAGCTATAGCCAATACCAAGAAGTGTTGCAATTGCAATTATTGCACAAAACAAGTTTGCCAAGTTTTCTCTTTGCTCGTTCTTCTGTTTTAGTTCCATTTTTCTTTCGGAAAATTCTTGGTATTTTGACTCCACAATGTGGTGATTTACACTGCGCGAGCAAACAAAAGCTTGCTTCATAGCCCTCATGCTCTGCTCCCCATTTAGGTGTGAGCCATTAACATCTTTAATCACTAGGCTAATCTCCTTCCACCTTATTATTATGCACCCTTTTTCAATCAAAACTCTGCATTTAACCGTTATCACAAACTCAACCGATGTGTAACATGTTAATAATTCATTGCCGTCCATTTTCACTACGCACCCAAAAGAAATTACATAGAGCTTATTAACGGAAGAGTTGAACTTCTGAATCGACCTAGGCCTCCAGCTCGATATATTCGAGGAGTTTCCTTTTCTCACATCGAACAAAATCCAGCTTAGTCTGAGGCTCTCGACAAATTTATCCTCCTCATGATTTAGGTAGTCCGTCGAAGGTATCTTTGTCGTTAGTATGTTTTTTCCAAGTACTTCTAGTTTGAAGGGGTAATAACATAGTAACATTTCGAAAGTATTATTATTTTCGTGATGTACAACTTTGGAGAAAATGCATTGACCCTCGTGATATATGTCGATGAATGAGATGAAATCCGATGGAGAAAAATTCGTGGAGTCGAGAGAAACTACTCTTCTTGGCAAACCCGTTTTTGCACTGTGTAGGATCAAGGGAAAGGCATCGGCGTAAAAACTCTTGAAACCTCGATTTTTACGAGAAGGGATTTGTGTGTTTGAGGTTGAGGGCCAAGTTTCATGGCATAGCTTTTGCCATAATTTCTCGTTTTTCGAAGCCAACCTGAGATTAGTGCTGGAAGAACCAATGGCTGCCAGAGTTGGCCCATCGAGTCGAGACATTATATCTAAGACGAGATCTTGAGGTAAGGACTTGAAGTGATTGGTGTTCGAGTTCATGTTGTAAAGACTCGAGTGAAATAGTCGAAAGAAAATGCATGTGAATTTGTGATTTGGTGTGGTTATGTTTTTATAGTGCATGCAAAAGTTAGGTCAACGGTTGTGCAGTTAACTGTGGCTAGGGTAGAAGTTTGGTACATATTAGTCATAGTTCATTAAATTTCCATTGGAAGTGGACTTGCATTAAAGTCAGTCTCCCAGCTTGGCTTCGGGTTTATCGGGCCAACTAGAGAATTGGATGACTGAATTTATAATTCAGAAATTGCATATATATTACCTAGTAATAAATTTTAAAATTAAGATGATGTATTGGTTGTATGTGAATTTTGCACTTGAAAAAAAATCTAGTGCTCTTTGGAGTTCTCATGCTCGTTTTATGATTGTGATCAAAAGTACAAGTGATGGATCAATGCTTGGCTCATAGTTTTGAGTTCTTGTGAAATTATTAAAAATGTGCGAAGTTGCCTAAAGTTGGGTGTACACTGCCTAATCCTATTTTTTTAGCCAGGGAGTTGGTGTGGATTTGAAAATTGCTTCAAATTTCCGGCTACGTGCAGTCTAGGTTCCGGTGAATTCCGAGTTGAAACTTATTGAACCCCTCGTTTTGTTTGTTTTTTCAAGGCAACAAATCGCTTAATAAATTTTATTCGTCGTGTTCATAGCAAAAAGAAAATTTAGGATTTCTTTTAATGAAATCCAAAGGTCAGTACTCATGTTCCATCTGATTTAGTTTCTTCTTCTCTTAAAGCATCTTCGATGGTCTTTCCATTGCTTTATTGTATTGCCACATGGCACCAAAAATTTGACGTGGCATGAAAAATGTCTAGAAAGATTTCTAAATGTAGAAGTCCTTCTAAACAACTTCTATCATATATATATTATTTATTCAATTTATCTCTTTTCCAATCAATTACAATTTTACACATCACAAAATAATACCACAATTAACACTCACCATTGGAGACACAATTTTTTAATTTCCTTTCCCCATGTCATACAACATAAAATGTAGAATTTTCCATTGGAGATGCTCTAATCTTAGTTTTAGGGAGTATTCATTTGAAATTCTTAAAGATTTGTTGGGACTTTAATAATCTTGATGTATTTAATTTGAAATGTTAAGACTTATATAAATTCAGAGTTATTTATTTGAGATTTTAAAAAGTTCCAACAAATCAAGAAGTATTTAGCTTATTTGACATTGATGTTTAGTGAGACTTTCTAAAATTTTCTAAGATTTCATAAGCATAAACTTTATACAAAATCTCCAAATCCCACCTCCACCAAATCCCACTCCACGCTTAAAATTTATCAAGATTCTTCTTAAATCTTCCAATCTGAAAAAATCTCAAATCTAAGCATCTTAAAATGTCTCTAAATTCCCAAACAAATACACTTCCCTTATTTCCATTTCGAATTTATTTGTTGAAGATAAATTCCAGGCCATGGATTTCTTTTAATGTTAAAGTCTCTTCTTAAACAAATACACCTTTTCATGTAAAAGTCTTGATCATGAAAAAGAGAAGAACAGAGGAAAAAAAGAACTACAGCAAAAAATGCCACACACCACGTAACATATCTTCGAACTAACTAAGACAACAACAATGTAAACTGATAGTAATGAAATCCTCGCATTATATGAAGCTGGAGATAAGTTCTCCGAAGTCCAAACAGAAAAAAATTCTCAAAAAGAGTATAGTGATTAAATTAAATAAATCACCGCCGACCAATAATTGAGTCGAAATTTCATGGTACAAACAAATGTCTTATTTCGGGCAAATTAATCATTAATCACGCATGTTATAAAAGTCTTCATTTGAATGTCCGAATGTCTCCAACATAAGCAGTCAATACGTTTACTGCCTTAAGCTGTACAAAGTGTACTCGGCATAAAGGTCCCTGTTTAACAAATGAAATATTCGTTTAACAGAAATTCTTACAGCAGATAAAAAAGCTCGATTGATTATCCTACGCCCAAACGCGTAGAAAATTTAGAACTTACATGGAATATTGGATGGCGTCAATAGCAGTATCTGAAGGCAAAAACTCATCCACTGCTACCTCTTTGTTCTCGTTTTTCTTGTCTGAACGACTCGTTAAGAAAAGAAAATGATAAATCATCTGTTTTTTCATAGAGAAACAAAAAAGATAATATAGATAGCAAAAACCATAGAGTATACAAAATATTTAAGAAGGATACAATCTTCAAAGAATCTTTTAATTTCGGTTAGACGATGAGGTGGCAGTTGGCTAATATCGGTCAAGTGGCGGTACTCTGGATCGTCAGCACACACGGCAATGATCTTGTCATCTTTCTCTCCCTAATTTGGCCAAATAAACAAATAAATTATTTAAAAGAATAAAAAGGCAAAAATGCATTTTGTCTTGTTCGTAAACGTCATAGCAATTTTAGTCTCAAGGATCCAACTTGTCAACTTGTCACAATAATATAATATTTTACTGCAGTTTCAGTCCTTTGATTGCAATTTCTGAAATTGCAGCAAAATAATAAATTATAAGACTAAAATTGCTACAAAATTTTAAATTATAGGACTGCTAATAAAACATCTATAAATTTGAGAATTTGTTGCAATTCAAAGGACTGAAATTACAGCAAAATGCAAATTATTAAATTACAGCACCAAAAGACGCCAAGCAAAATGCAAATTATTAAATTACAGCACCAAAAGACGCCAAAAGACGAAATGTTAGAATCTTGGGACTAAAATTGCTATGAACGCAGGATTAAACGTGCAATTTAGCGAATGTATATATATATATATATATAGAGAGAGAGAGAGAGAGAGTTTGGTACATAGCTAACAAAGGATGAGATTCTTTCATACATTTGTGCAGAGAATAGTAAAATATACCTGATCAATCATAGGCATCAAACCTATAGCCCTGGCTCGAAGAAAACAACCAGGGACAACAGGTTCCTGAAAATTTGCTAAATAAACTTAGTTACACTATTAAAAGAAAAAAATGATTTATATACAAAAGAATATCAAATCTATATAAAGTCATCTCAACCTGCATAATGACTAGAACGTCCATTGGGTCATTATCTTCACATAGTGTTCGAGGGATAAATCCATAATTGTGAGGATACACCATGGACGAGTACAAGACACGATCAACCTGGATAATTCCATTGAATCAGTTGATGTAAGAAAATATGCGACCGGTTTTCTTGTCAAGCGTGTGTAAGAATTTGTATAATTTCTCAACATTACCTTGATGAGACCGGTTTTCTTGTCAAGTTCATATTTCACTTTACTTCCTTTGGGTATCTCAATTACCTAAAAGACATGGCAAATAGATAATGTTAAAGCTAACAAACCATTTGGAAAGTGTTGATATGGAGGGGAAAATAAAATCATAATTGTAAAAAGAATGCTCGTGCCAAAAAAATCTAACCACTTTTAACCAATCACTTTTTAACTCAAATCAAACTCAACTTTAACTCAACCTCACTATCCTCAATATTGTCATTATAATTAAATAATACCACTTAATCATTCTTACATATTACATCAACTTTAATTTACATATTACAAATCATACCACTTTTTTCAAAATTAACCGTACCAAACCAAAAAATCAAAACAAAATCAAAATATTTTATATCTAAGCATCCCCTAACAGTTCAAATGTAGCATTTATAAGAAATGAGAGTCCGCTGTTATTTAATTTCAATTTGAAGAGGAAAAGAAGTACATACAACATTAATAATCTGCGGTGCTCCAGGTCCTGCAAAGAAAAATGGAGAGATATCATGTATAGTACTACACAAGGGGAAAACAAATCCTT